GAAGCAACAGTTAGAACTGGACATGGAACAACAGACTGGTTCCAAATAGGAAAAGGAGTACATCAAGGCTGTATATTGTCACCCTGCTTATTTAACTTATATGCAGAGTACATCATGAGAAACACTGGGCTGGATGAAGCACAAGGTGGAATCAAGATTGCCAGGACAAATATCAATAACTTCAGATACACAGATCACACCACCCTTATGGCAGAAAGTGAAGAGGAACTGAAGATCCCCTTGATGAAAGTGAAAGAGAAGAGCGAAAAAGTTGACTTAAAACTCAACATTCAGAAAACTAAGATCATGGCATCACTTCATGGCAAATAGATGGGGAAACAGTGGAAACAGTGACAGATTTTGGGACAGGGAAGCCTGACATGCTGCAGTCCATGGGTTCTGAAGGAGTCGGACACAACTTAGCGACTGAACAACAGCAACAAATTAAGTTACTCAAAATCAGATCGTTTCACACTTCAGAAAATCTGTATTTCCTCCTTGTTTTGAAAATGAGAGGATGGACGACACGGCAGTGCAGCAGGTGAGACAGAACCAGGAGACCAGGCCTCTCAGTGCACAGATGGTCCCCTCTTATGCTCCTTCACAAGTATTTTTCCTCCTTACAACATTAGGTGTGCTGAGATACAATGATCATAAAATGGTTATGCCTGTTTAAAGTGTACAGTTTCATGATTCTGATGTTTGCACACCCCTTGGATCCATCTTCACAGTGAAGACCGCGGTTCCGCAGGTGTTTCCTGGTGCCCTGTCCTGCCTTGTCTGTGCCCCAGCGCCCAATCTCCAGAGGCTTGTTTTCATTTCATAGAATTTATGTTAATTGGAAACATACAGGACCTACTCTTTTTTTTGGTGGCATCTTTCACTCAGATAGTTATCTTGAGATTCAGCCTGCTTTTGCATGAATTCATTCCTTTTTATGAGTAATATTCCCTTGTAAGACCATACCCTAGCTCACTAATCCAGGCACCTGTGGTTGGACTCTGGCTTGTTGCTTGTCGTGGCCATCACAGATGAAGCTGCTGTGAGCATCACGCCGAGTGTCTTTGTGGCCAGGCATTTCCACTGCTCTTGGGTAAGTGCCTGGCAGAGCCAGAGCTGTGTACAGCGGCTGGCGTACACTGGGCGTCCAGAGGCACTGCCAGGCCCTCCTCCAGTGGCTGCGCAGCCTTTGTGCCCACAGCGTGTGTGAGGTTCCACTTGCCCCACAAGCTCACAGCCGCTGGGTGGTTGGTCTTGCTGCTGCTCGTGGCGGTGTGAGGTGTGCAGGGGGGGCTCCTGTGGTCTCGGCCATCTTCGCTCTGATGACCAACACTTGCTGGCCATCACTTGGCCTTGGTGAGAGTGCCTGCTCCCGTGTGTGGTTCACAACCTCCATCATTTGCTCATTTTTGTTGGTCTGGCAAATTGTTCACATATTCTCAGTGCAAGTCCTTTATGATGTGTGTCTTTGCAAGTGTGTTCTCAGACTGTGGCTTGTGTTCTCATTGTTTGTACAGCGCCTTTTGAATAGCAGAAGTTCTTAATTTTGATGTTCAGTGTACAAGTTTTGCTTTGATGGATTATGCTTTCAGTGACACGTTTAAGAAGTCTGCCAAATTCAAGGTCATGAGGGTTTTCTCTTACGTTTTCTTCTATAATAGAAATTTTACAGCTTGAAGTTTTATATTTATGGCTGTGATCTGTTCCGTTTTTGCAGATGATGCCAGGTGTGGATTGACTATCACCAGGGGGTGTCCAGTTGTCTCAGTACCGTGTGTCGAAAAGACAGACTGTCCTTTGTCCAGTGAGTGACCTTTTCATCTTTTTAAAAGCCAGTTGACTTGTGCCTGTGGATCTGCTTCTAAGCCCTTGGTTCTGCTCCATGGATGCGTGTGTCTGTCTTGCAGCCACACCACAGAGTCTTGTCTGGGTGCCCTCGTGGGAAGTCGTAAAGTCGAGGGGACAGCCTCCAGTGAGTCCCTCTTCTTCAGAATGGCGGCTCTTCTAGGTGTTGGCGTTCCGTGGGGATTTTAGGTTCAGCCTGTCAGTTTCTACAGAGAGCCTGTTGAGATTTTGGTCAGGATGACATGACGGACCCTTTAGGTCCACTTAAGGGACAATAGACATCTTTTTTTAATTGGAGTAGAGTTGATTTATAGTATTGTGTTATTCTCCAGTGTACAGCAAAGTGATTAAGGTACATATTTCTTCCAGATTCCCTTCCCGTTCTGGGTTATTGCAGTGACCTTCTGGCCTCGGTCCCTTCCTCACGCCCACTCCTTCCTGCCTGTGAAAGCCTTCTGTTGTGAGCGGCTCTCCATGTTCCTTTTTGTCTGCAGTTTGGACTGCCTGGTTCTAATCAGTTTTTGCTCTAATAAACTCTTAAAATTTTAACAAACGTCAGCTTATCTTTTAACTGTTCTGAATAAATTTCATAGGAGTGAATCTTCACCATCAGTTGCTTCCCTTTTTAAGAACTTCTTCCCTCGTCTCTGGCTGTGCTGCGTCTTTGTTGCTGAGCTCGGGCTCTCCCTAGTTGTGGCGCTGCAGGCTCCCCCTGTGGTGGCTTCTCTTACGAGCACAGGTTCTAGGCTCACGGGCTCAGCAGTCGTGGTGCGTGGACTTGGCTGCCCCGCGGCACGTGGGCTCTTCCTGGGCCAGGGGTCGAACCAGTGTCCACTGCATTGCAAGGCAGACTCTTAACTACTGAACCACCAGGGAAGCTGAAAGTTACTAGATTGATGCAAACATAATTGCAGGTTCAGACTATGACTTTTAAATCATTATAACTAGACTCAAACACATTTTTATTAGTCAAAATAGGAACCATTACAATCAACACATTTTTGCCAGCGAGAAATAAGTTTGTTTATTCCTGTAGTGGAAAAATCCATTCTTCAGGATTTGGTGAACTCTTGGAAAGCATTCTCTGCTTCCTGTTGGTTGTGGAAGTGTTTTTCCTGCAAAAAGTTACCAAGATGCTTGAAGAAGACGTAGTTGGTTGTCAAGAGGTCTGGTGAAAATGGCAGATGAGGCAAAACTTTGCAGCCCAATTCATTCAACTTTTGAAGTACTGGTTGTGTGATGTATGAGGGCGTTGTCATGGAGAAGAATTGGGCCCTTTCTGTTGGCCAGTACGAGCTGCAGGCATTGCAGTTTTTGGTGCATCTCATCCATTTGCTGAGCATACTTCTCAGATGTAATGGTTTAGCCAGGATTTGGAAAGCTGTAGTGGATCAGACAGGCAGCAGATGACCAGTGACCATGACCTTTTCTGGCGCAAGTTTGGCTTTGGGAATTGCTTTCGAACTTCTTGGTCCAGCCACTGAGCTGGTCATTGCCAGTTTTCATATAAAATTTACCTTTTGTCACACATCACAATCTGACCAGGAAATGGTTTGGTTGTTGTTGCGTAGAGTAAGAAAATGACACTTCAGAACGATGATTTTGATTTTCAGTCAGCTCATAAGGCACCCACTTACCAGGTTTTTCACCTTTCCAATTTGCTTCGAGTGCCGAACAAGCATAGAATAGTCAACACTGAGTTCTTTGGAAGCTTCTCGTCTAGTTGTAAGAGGATCAGCTTCAATGATGGTTCTCAGCTGGTCATTGTCAACTTCTGACGGCCGGCCACTATGCCCCCGTCTTCAAGGCACTCGTCTCCTTTGCAAAACTTGAACCTTGACTGCACTGTACGTTCACTAGCATTCCTAGACCAACTGAGCTGTTGATGTTGTGAGTTGTCTCTGCTAGTTTATGACCCATTCTGAACTTGAATAAGAAAGTTGCTCAAATGTGCTTTCTGTCAAACATTATTTCCATAATCTAAAATAAATATAAGTAGTAAGTCAGTAACAAAAAGACATAAAACAAGAAATGTTCATTAAAATAATGTATAATGTAACTGCATTTATTTAAGAATGTGTTCCAGTATCAAATGGCAAAGTTCAACAGTGCAAAACCAAAATTACTTTTTCACCAACCTAAAGCTTTCCCACTGATGCAGCATTGTTGCTATTTCTCTGACACTTCACAGGCTCTTTTTCTTTCATTCTACTTGTTCACTTTATACATTAAACAGAGATAGTGCCAGAAAGGAAGGCATCCCTGCTACCCTGACACATTTAAAATTTTCCTGGTAAACTCCTGGCATCCTGATGACAGCCTCATGGCCGGTGGGGCTTCTGATGCTGCCTAGCCTGGGCTCTGAGTGCCCGTCTGCTGAGGCGCCAGGCGCTGACCTGTGTCGCTTTCTCCTCCGCAGGACCACCAGCAGACGATGCCACTTTGCTCTTGAACAGGTCATCCACTTGGGGGTAAAAGGTACTACTTTGGGGGGATGGTGGTGTTATATCTTCCTGGAGTATTTTAGAAGCTGCCTTTAGAATTTTGTGTAAATAAGTTTCTTCAGCTGTACATTAGAATTGAGTTGAAATTCTGATATCCAGTGTTTTTTCTGTTGGGGAGGTTCAGTGTTTTCTGACAGTTTCAAGTATGTAGAAATAGCACGCTTAAATTATTAACAATAAAATGATTTTACTCTGCTTCCCCATCTTAATATAAGTCGTTTGTAGGCTACAAATGAACAAGAAAACGGCGTGGTTGCACAGAACATGCGGTGCTGGCCTTACGCTGCAGCTGAGGAGCAGACCCGGGGCAGGGAGCAGACCCGGGGCAGGGAGCAGACCCGGGGCAGGGAGCGGAGGGTGCACAGGCGTGCGTGTCTCCTCTGTTCACCTTTCTCACGCTTCTCAGTAATACCTGCCTTCTCGTGTTGTCTTGTTTTAAAAGTGTTGTTTCCAGAAGAAATCATTTTACAGCCTCCCCAGGTGACATGGAATTGGACCCATGCACAAGACACCAAAAATGATGGACAGTCTACCTCCAAGGTACTGATTTGATAAGTGTAAATAGATAATAGTACCCTCTCAGTTTACTGGTGCATCACAGGAGTACAGTGAGTGTAGTTCACAAATAACCCCACATCGCAATGAAAGTAAAACTAACTATTCACTATGTAAAGTCTCTTTACCCTTACATGTAGGGTAATAACAGCTGCAATATACTGGGGAATAATAGGGGAAAGGAAGATAAGGATATATTGTGTGAGCATGTAGTTTTATTTTTTTGTTTTTATTTATTTACTTTTTAATTTTTTAATTGAAAGCTAATTGCTTTACAGAATTTTGTGGTTTTCTATCATTCATAACAAGAATCAGCCATAGGCACACCCATGTCCCTTTGCTCCTGGATCTCCCTCCACATCCCACCCTCCCGCCTGTCGCAGAGCCCTTGATTGATTCACTTCTGCGAGTCATACAGCGAATTCCAATTGCCCATCTATCTCACATATTATTTTGAATTTCCATGTTACTGTCTCCATACATCTCCCCTTCTCCCTCCTCTCCTCCTGCCGGGGTCCATAGGTTCATAGCTCTTTCTCTGAAAGAGAAATTAAGAAATCAATCCCATTCACCATTGCAACAAAAAGAATTAAAATCTAGGAATAAACTTACCTAAGGTGAAAAAAGACCTGTATACAGAAAACTGTAAGACACTACTGAAGGAAATCAGTTCAGTTCAGTTCAGTCGCTCAGTCATGTCTGATTCTTTGTGACCCCATGAACCACAGCACACCAGGCCTCCCTGTCCATCACCAACTCCTGGAGTTTACTCAAACTCATGTCCATCAACTCAGTGATGCCATCCAACCATCTCATCCTCTGTCGTCCCCTTCTCCTCCTGCCCTCAATCTTTCCCAACATCAGGGTCTTTTCCAATGAGTCAGTTCTTTGCATCAGGTGGCCAAAGAATTGGAGTTTCAGCTTCAACGTCAGTCCTTCCAATGAATATTCACGACTGATCTCCTTTAGGATGGACTGGTTGGATCTCTTCGCAGTCCAAGGGACTCTCAAGAGTCTTCTCTAACACCACAGTTCAAAAGCATCAATTCTTCAGTGCTCAGCTTTATTTATAGTCCAACTCTCACATCCATACATGACTACTGGAAAAACCATAACTTTCATTAGATGGGCCTTTGTTGGCAAAGTAATGTCTCTGCTTTTTAATATGCTGCCTATGTTGGTCATAACTTTTCTTCCAAAGAGTAAGTATCTTTTAATTTCATGGCTGCAGTCACCATCTGCAGTGATTTTGGAGCCCAAAAAAATAAAGTCTATCACTGTTTCCACTGTTTCTCCATCTATTTGCCATGAAGTGATAGGACCAGATGCCATGATGTTAGTTTTCTGAATGTTGAGCTTTAAGCCAACTTTTTCACTCTCCTCTTTCACTTTCATCAAGAAGCTCTTCAGTTCCTCTTCACACTCTGCCATAAGGGTGGTGTCATCTGCGTATCTGAGATTGTTGATATTTCTCCCAGCAATCTTGATTCCAGCTTGTGCTTCATCCAGCCCAGTGTTTCTCATGATGTACTCTTCGGGTAAGTTAAGTAAGCAAGGTGGCAATATACAGCCCTGATGTACTCCTTTCCCAATTTGGAACCACTCTGTTGTTGCATGTCCAGTTCTAACTGTTGCTTCCTGACCTGCATACAGATTTCTCAAGAGGCAGGTCAGATGGTCTGGTATTCCCATCTCTTTCAGAATTTTCCACAGTTTATTGTGATCTGAACAGTCAAAGGGTTTGGCATAGTCAATAAAGCAGAAATAGATGTTTTTCTGAAACTCTCTTGCTTTTTCAGTGATCCAGTGGATTTTGGCACTTTGATCTCTGGTTCCACTTCCTTTTCTAAATCCAGCTTGAATTGGATTCAGAAAACTGGATTTAGTTTTCTAAATCCAGTTCCGGTTCCATCTGGAAGTTCATGGTTCACGTATTGTTGAAGTCTGGTTTGGAGAATTTTGAGCATTACTTTACTAGCGTGTGAGATGACTGCAATTTTGCGGTAGTTTGAGCATTCTTTGGCATTGCCTTTGGGATTGGAATGAAAACTGACCTTTTCCAGTCCTGTGGCCACGCTGAGTTTTCCAAACTTGCTGGCATGTTGAGTGCATCACCACAGCGTCATCTTTTAGAATGTGACACAGCTCAAATGGAATTGCATCACCTCCAACAGCTTTGTTCATAGTGATGCTTCCTAAGGCCCATTTGACTTCACATTCCAGGATGTCCGGCTGTAGGTGAGTTATCACACCATCGTGATTATCTGGGTCATGAAGATCTGTTTTGTATAGTTCATCTGTGTATTGTTGCCACCTCTTCTTAATATCTTCTACTTCTGTTAAGTCCATAACATTTCTGTCCTTTATTGTTCCCATCTTTGCATGAAATGTTCTCTTGGTATCTCTAATTTTCTTGAAGAGATCTCTAGTCTTTCCCATTCGATTGTTTTCCTCTATTTCTGTGCATTGATCACTGAAGAGAGATTTCTTATCTCTCCTTGCTATTCTTTGGAACTCTGCATTCAAATGGGTATATCTTTCCTTTTCTGCTTTGCTTTTCACTTCTCTTCTTTTCACAGCTATTTGTAAGGCCTCCTCAGACAGCCATTTTGCCTTTTTGCATTTCTTTTTCTTGGAGATGGTCTTGATTCCTGTCTCCTGTACAATGTCATGAACCTCCATCTGTAGTTCTTCAGGCTCTCTGTCTGTCAGATCTAATCCTTTGAATCTGTTCATCGCTTCCACTGCATCCCTTCCACTGTAAGGGATTTGATTTAGGTCATACCTGAATGGCCTAGTGGTTTTCCCTACTTTCTTCAATTTAAGTCTGAATTTGGCAATAAGGAGTTCATGATCTGAGCCACAATCAACTCCCAGTCTTGTTTATGCTGACTATATAGAGCTATAACCTAACACCATAGGTAAAGATAAGCTCAAAATGGGTTAAAGACCTAAATGCAAAACCAGAAACTATTAAACTCTTCACGGAGAATGCAGGCAGAACACTCGACGACATGAATCAAAGCAAGATCTTCTATGACCCATCTCCTAGAGTAATGGAAATGTAAACAAAAATAAACAAATGGTACCTAATTAAACTTAAAAGCTTTTGCACAGCAAAGGAAACCACACACAAGGTGAAAAGACAACCTTCAGAGTGGGAGAAAATAACAGCAAAAGAAACAAGTGACAAGAATTAATTTCCAAAATACAGAACCAGCTCACACAACTCAATAACAGAAAAGCAAACATCCGAATCAAAAGGTGGGAAAGGGACCTGAAGAGACATTTCTCCAAAGAAGGCATACAGATGGCTAACAAGCACATGGAAAGATGCTCAACGTCAGTCATTATTAGGGAAATGCAAATCAAAACCACAATGAGATACCACCTCACACCAGTCAGCATGGGCATCATCAAGAAGTCTACAAGCAATTAATGCTGGAGAGAGTGTGGAGAAAGGGAACACTCTTGCATTGATGGTGGGAATGTAAAGTTATGGAAGATGGTGTGGAGACTCCTTAAAAAACTAGGAATAAAACCACCATATGACCCAGCAATCCCACTGCTAGGCATATATCCTGAGGAAATCAAAACTGAAAAAGACACATGAATCCCAATATTCATTCCAGCACTGTCTGCAGTGGTTACAACATGGAAGCAACTTAGATGTCCGTCGACAGATGGACGGATAAAGAAGCTGTGGTACATATATACAGTGGAATACTACATAGCCATAAAAGGGAACGCATTTGAATCTGTTCTAATGAGGTGGATGAAACTAGAGCCTATTATACAGAGTGAAGTAGTAAGTCAGAAAGAGAAATATAAATATCGTATGCTGACACATATTTATGGAATCTGAAGAGATGACACTGGTGAATTTATTTTCAGGGCAGCAGTGGAGAAACAGACATAGAGAACAGACCTATGGACACGGTGGGAGGAGAGGACGGAGAAGAGGAGATGTACGGAGGGAGTAACATGGAATTCACAATGCCAGATATGAGCTAGACAGGCAATGGGAATTCACTGTATGACTCAGGGAACTGAATCAGGGGCTCTGCCACAGGCGGGAGGGTGGGATGGGGAGGGAAATGGGAGGGAGGGAACATGGGTGTGCCTGTGGCTGATTCTTGTTCATGTGTGACAGAAAAGCACAAAACCTTTACTTCTCCAATCCGGATTCCTTTTATTTCTTTTTCTTCTCTAATTGTCATAGCTAGGACTTCCAAGACTATGTGAAATAATTGTGGTAAGAGTGGACACCCTTGTCTTGTTCCTTAGAGGGAGTGCTTTTAGTTTTTCACCATTGAGAATAATGTTTGCTGTGGGCTTTTCATATATGGCCTTTACCATGTTGAGGTAGGTTCCTTCTGTGCCCATTTTTTGGAGTGTTTTTATCATAAATGGATGCTGAATTTTGTCAAAGGCTTTTTGTGCATCTATTGAGATGATCATATGGTTTTTATCTTTCAATTTGTTGATACAGTGTATCACGTTGATTGATGTGCATATATTGAAGAATCCTTGCATCCCTGGAATAAACCTGACTCAATCATGTATGAGCTTTTTAATGTGTTCTGTTTAAAAATTCTGTTTGCTAGAATTTGTTGAGGATTTTTGCATCTATGTTCATCAGGGATATGGCCTGTACTTTTCTTTTTTTGTGTTGTCTTTACCTGGTTTTAGTATCAGGGTAATTGTGGCCTCAAAGAATGAGTTTGGAAGTGTTCCATCCTCTGCAATTTTTTGGAAGAGTTTCAGAAAAATAGGCGTTAGCTCTTCTCTGAATGTTTGATAGGATTCCCCTGTGAAGCCATTGGCCCTGGGCTTTTGTTTCGGGGGAAGATTTTTGATCACTGTTTCGATTTCAGTGTTTGTAATTGGGTTGTTCATAATTTCTGTTTCTTCCTGGTTTAGTCTTGGGAGGTTGATTTTTTCTAAGTACCTGTCCATTTCCTCTGAGTTGTCCATTTTACTAGCATATAGTTGCTCATAATATTCTCTCATGATCCTTTGTATTTCTGTGTTGTCTGTTATAACCTCTCTTTTTTAATTTCTAATTTTATTGATTTCGTTTTCCTCCCTTTTTTTCTTGATGAGTCTGGCTAGTGGTTTGTCAATTTTGTTTTATCTTCTCAAAGAACCAGCTTTTAGTTTATTTAATCTTTGCTCCGTAGTTTTATTTTTAAGTTACATGGTTTTTGTGTACACTCAGGCACGTTTTTATCATTACACATGCATAGAAGACCTCCGAAAGTGCTGCACACCAAGAACATTATTCTTTTGTGATCTTTGTTCAGGTTACCAGGGTATTTTTTAATGTACAATCAGTGGGTCCGTTAATACGTATTATGTGCCAGATATTGTTCTAGGCTCTACGTTTTGTTTTCAAGAGTAAAATAGAAATGGTTTTATTTATCATTGTATTTCCATTAACAAGAAAAACCCTTCATGCCACAGGTTACAGCTTGTAACTTATAATTCTGTGCTGTTGGAATTTGGTTTTTTGAGCATGCTTTGACTTTTTAGTAAATACAGATTTTTTAATTATATCTGACATGTATAAACCTTTTTACTTCTTTGTATCCCTTCTCCAAAAATGGAGAAATGATAGCTTTAGAATGCCTGCCCAACCACAGAGAATTCTCTAAAGGTTTGCATTAAAATCATCTGCCGTGTAACTGGTACCTGAACTCACTTTTGCTCTGAAAAATAGAAAGAGGTCTTCATTGAACAAAGATGCAATGTCATCTGCAAAACTGTGTTTTCACCTCATTTCCTGGCCCATCCCACTGCCCGATTCTCAGGAAGTATTGCTGTTTTAGTGGATCACAGTCCTGATGAGCTGAATCTTAGCACTTTAAATGTAGAGCATTGTCCTGTTACAGATTAGCCAGGTTGCAGACAAAGCACCCAGCCAAGGTGGAATTGCAGGGAGTGGTTTTACCTTCCCACCTAAATGATTAAAAATCAGAATACATGAAGCAGCAGGTTCAGAGCTTGATCAGTGATTCCTGAGAGAAGAAACCAGGAGCGGCCACTGTGGTCACCCCAGCCCCCGCCACCAGCCTTCAGAGCTCCCAGGTCGGGGCCCAGAGCCAGAGCCAGTGTCTGCCTCATGGAGGAGGCAGTGTTTTCACTAAATGGCCAGTGGTGTGTTTTGATCAACTTCAAGTGGAGATGGGTTTGGGAAAGATACTGCTTCTGTGAAAATACCCCCTTATCTCCATTAGAGGTATACTCATTCAGCTCTGGTATTCATATTCCAGTAAGTTATTTTGTTCTCACTGTTAAACACAAAAAGAACATAAAAAGCGTTGCACGGGACTTCCCTGGTAGTCCAGTGGTTAAGATTCTCTGCTCCCAATGCAGGGGGCCTGGGTTTGATCCCCAGTCAGGGAACTAAGATTCCACATGCTGCAACTAAGAGTGTGCATGCCACAATCCAGCACAGCCAAATAAATAATTTTTTTTTTAAGGCACAAGACAGTGAAAAGACAAGTGACAGACTGAAAATATTTGCAAATCACATTATCTGATAAAACATTTGTATCAAGACTACATATTGAAGAATTTTGAAAATTGAATAGTAAAAAAAATTTTAATGAACCAGTACCTGAGCAGATGTTGTACAGATGAACCATGTACAGGTGACATGACCGTGAGAAGATGCTCGGTGTTAGTTGTTACGGAAACACACAGCCACAGTGAGACCCCACCACACACCTGTTAGCGTGGCTGCACTGTGGGGCCATGGGAGCCTCACTGCGCTTGCTGGTGGGAACACAGACCTGGCTGGACGAGGATGAGCGCTTGAGCAGATCGCCCGCAGCCGGCAGCGCAGGCGTCTCCCCGAGGTTGGTGGGAGCGCGTGCGCTGCAGCCTCCCCTGCAGTGGCGCAAACTCAGAAACAGTCTCTGTCCATCCACGGACAGGAGGCCAGCAGTCAGTTTGTTCTCGCCATGAATGTCTTCTCAGCAAGGAAGAGGGTAACGTCGGTGGACACACAGCCCAGAGGGGTCTCCAGGTCTCCAGTTGCACTGTGTGGAGATGTCAGAAAGCCTGTGTCTGTGCGCTTCTGTGACTAGAACCTTCTGGAAGATGCACGTCAGTCTGCAACAGCAGGAGGGTGTACGGGGGTGCTTGGGGACTGAGAGGCAGACTGAGTTTTTTTTTGCGGTGATGAGTTTATGGGTGTGCATGTGTCCAGACCCGCCCAGTTACTCCTTACTGTGTGTCTGTTCTCTGTCAAACAGATGATGCTGGGAGGGCGGATTGCTGCGATGTCTTGGACTAAAATTTGATAAAAGAGAAAAACTTTTCAGTGTGAAAACCTGTGTAGAAATTTTACTTTGGGAATTTACGCTGTGAAAGTAATCAGGTTGATTGCACAAGCATGTGTGTGCAGAGGTGTTTATTACCACGTTGTAATGTTGGTCCATGTCAGATTCAGTTTATGTTTAAACACACGCAAAACCAGTTCCTCAGCACGATCCTGACCTAGTAGACGAGGGAGCAGCCCCAGGGCCGCCTCGTACCCGAGAGGCAGGTGAGGGTCTGCCCAGGGCCGAGTCCTCGCCGAGCTCACGGGCCCCTTCACACATGGAGAGGAGGACCTGGGGCCCCAGGAGCAAGGGCTGCGCTTGCAGTCAGCCCCGGTGGGTTCTCCTTGCAGATGAGCAGGCTCCATGGGAAGAGCAGACATCCTGGACTCAAGGAGAATATAGTCCTTTTTAGCAGTTTTTATTAGATATTCTGCATTCTCGTTACATCTGAAAGGGTTGACCTGTGATCTGTGCAGAGAGCTGTTAAGTCAATAAAACAAGCATTTGATGATTGTTTACATTCACACTTTAAGCCTGCGTGAACACAAAGCTTTCTTTTTAAGCAATTTTTTTGGCCTGATTTTTTTCTAGAATAGGAAAGCCATGAAGGACCAAACTAAGCAAGCCCCAGAGGAGCACCAGGCAGGTGCCCAGAACACACCAGGGCCACAGGCCTTCGCCACAGAGATCAGCAGGCTGGGTGAGTCTGGGACCAGGCTGGCTCCTGCAGGCCTGGAGGGGAGACGTCTGGGGCTGCTGGGGGACACACGCTCTGGCCTTGGTGGTGGCTGTTCTTGTCCACCTGTCACCGCAACATCTGACACCTCGGTGACACTGCCCAAGTGAAATGGGGAGGGGCGAGTGACCTGGGCTTTTGCAGTCAGCCAGCTGTCCTGGTGAGTGACGCTGAGCAGATCTTGAGGGGCCCTGCCTGTGACCCACTGACCGTCTCTCCCTGACGCAGTCAGTGGATCCCCGAAGGCGAGAGAAAAGGAGTTTTTCAACCCCATGCTCAACGAGAACCAGAAGCTGGCAGTGAGGAGGATCCTGAGCGGAGACTGCCGCCCAATCCCCTACGTGCTTTTCGGGCCTCCAGGGACAGGGAAGACGGTGACCATCATAGAGGCCATCCTGCAGGTAACAGCCAGGCAGTGTCTCAGGAGGTGTAGCCTTGTGCTCCTGCCAGCAGAAGGTGTTGGTGCAGACCTTGGGATCAGAGCATGGGAAACAGCTTAGAAAATCTCATTTGCTTTACATGTAGCAGTTTGCTATGTGGCTTTAGGGCTTCTGAGAGCTGGTGTCCTCAGTTTAGAAAGGAGTTGCTTCATTTCAAAACAGTCAACTGCAGATGTTTCTGGTGCCTCAATCTAGATTGAAACAGTTTGTGGAAAGAGAGGGTGTGTTCAGTGTCCTGCATCGCTGGGGACCCAGGTTGACCCACAGGCACCTAGACCTGGTGCAAGGTTTCCCAGGGTCCCGGCCGGGCAGTTAAGGGGCTGGGAGACATGATGGCAGGGTCAGGGCTTTGGCCACGAGGGGTTACGTGGGCCAGGCAGCAGGTCTGCATCCAGAGCCCTCGTGGCAGGGCTTGGTGCTGGCTGCTGACCATTCCCTCTTTGCCTTCCGTGTGTCCTGGGGAAGGTCTTCCATGCTCTGCCGGACAGCCGGATCCTGGTGTGTGCACCCTCCAACAGCGCGGCCGACCTTGTGTGCCTGCGGCTTCACGAGAGCCGGGTGCTGCGTCCGGGCACCATGGTCCGCGTGAATGCCACCTGCAGGTTTGAGGAGGTGAGCACCCTCCCCAGCCTCGTGCGCACTGCAGGAGGCCCTGGGAGGGCCATTCCCATGCTGGTGTCCAGTGGCGGCCGGCAGCCCCAGCTCTGTGAGGCAGTGACGCTCCTGCTTGCCTCCCTCAGACGTGTACTTGCTTTTTGATTCTGTTGTGTTGGTTTGCTGTAAAGGTTTCCAGTTTGGTGAGCAAAAAAGGTTAGAAAGCATGTGCAGTTGTTTTGGGGAAGGATCTGCAGGATTCTCTTGTTATATTCATGGTTCTAGCATCTGTAAGACCTGGATTATGTTGATGAGAAAACATAAGACGTTTTGATTTAAGAAAACAATCTTACATCATTACGTAGTCCAGATAAAAAGGGGCAGCAGGACAGGCTTATTGTTGAGAATTCCATTCAGCTTTGTGATTATGTCCAGTTTAAAGAATCGCTCAGTAACCCTAAGGGTGGCCTGTTCCCCGCAGACTATCACAGAGGCCCTCAGGCCGTACTGCAGAGACGGGGAAGACGTCTGGAAGGCCTCTCGCTTCAGGGTGGTCATCACCACCTGCAGCAGCGCAGGACTGTTCTACCAGATAGGCTTGAGGTGGGGGCTTCCCGGGTGGGGGCTTCCCGGGTGGGGGCAGGGCAGCGTGGGGTGTGGGGCAGGGTTGGAGGTGCCTGGGCTCCCAGGCCTTGTGGACAGGACACTCGAGCCGGAGTGACCCTGGGACGTGTCTGCTGCAGAGTCGGACACTTCACGCACGTGTTTGTGGATGAAGCGGGCCAGGCGAGCGAGCCCGAGTGCCTCATCCCCCTGGGGCTGGTCTCGGACGTCAGCGGCCAGGTGAGGCCCGTGCGCCGCGGCCACCCCGGCCTTGGTCCCTGCCCCTCCACACACCAGGGGCCCAGGCAGCTGTGTCTGCCTTCTTCACCTGTGAGACACACGCTGAGAGTTGCCCCATTCGTGCTGTAGATTGTCCTGGCTGGAGACCCCATGCAGCTGGGACCAGTCATCAAGTCCAGACTTGCCATGGCCTACGGGCTGAACGTCTCCATGCTGGAGAGACTAATGTCCCGACCAGTGTACTTGCGTGATGAGGACGCTTTTGGGGCCTGCGGCGCCTACAACCCCTTGTTGGTGAGCTCAGCCCCGCGTGCTCTTGAGTCAGACTGGACCAGAGGGCCACTGGGGAGGCCGCCTCTCGTGTCCCAGGGTCACGGCTGGGGGCGGAGGCCACCACCGAGGGTGGGGCAGAGGCCACCACCGAGGGCGCACCTGAGGGGCCTTCAGGCCCCCTGTCCTGGGGGCCCAGGAACTGCTGCCTGTGCCCCTTGAGCGTCTTCCTGAGGGGTCAGCCCTTCCAGCAGCTCCAGCCCATCAGTAGGACCACTGCAGACCGTGACGCTATGGGAAGTGGGAAGGAGCTTTGTAAGTTTACCTGGAGGAGAAGGCAGATGTCTGCGGTCTCCTGAGGTACCAGGTGGAGTGCAGGTTCCTGGTTCTTGGCAGCTCTCTGACAGCACTGAGGCCCAGACCTTGGCGTCTGCGTTTCAGGAGCCCCAGCACCTGGAGCTCAGAGCGCTGTGCCTGTGACTGCCCCGTGCACGGGCAAGAGGAGGTTCCCCTCTGGACTTGGAACAGAAGAGCAGGTGCAGGGATCGTGGGCGGTGGTCCGAGCAAGGCCTGGGGCCTATTCCACATTCCAGGCCCTTTCTGCCAGAGGGCAGGGCGGGCAGGTGGGCACAGGGTGGTGAGATGGCGGGCAGGGGTCCAGGCCAGCACAGCAGGCCCAGCCTGGCCGAGGGAGAAGTCGTGCTGCCGAGTTTTGGGGTTTTGACAAGAGTCTCGGAGGCTGGAATTGTGATGACTCAGTAGAAGGGTGTCAGCCAGAGAGTCCCGGGCCTCTGGCCTTCCCACCCCAGGAGCAGGAAAGACAGGAATGAACTTCCTGGACAGTTGAAGCAGGAAACAAAGCTTTCCTTACTGCATGTCCTGGTGCTCCACCCCCGGTGGCTCTCAACAAGGTCCTGGGCAGCCTCAAGAGACGCAACACCCACCGCAGCAGATCTAAGACCAGGCTCCCCAGGCAGCTCTAACAGCCGGGCTCCCATGGCCTGGATCAGGGTGCAGCTTGGAGGCAGCCGCAGCCCCCACAGGGGCCCTGTCTCCCAGCACAGGTCCCCCAAGCGCTTCTGAGGCAGGAGCTGGGCGCAGGTGCAGGGCCCTCCTCCCCAGTGGCAGCGTGCAGGGCGCCCACGGGCTCTGGCCTCGGCCCTGCCCCACCTCCCCCATAGGTGACGAAGCTCGTGAAGAACTACAGGTCCCACTCGGCTCTGCTGGCCCTGCCGTCCAGACTGTTCTACCACCGAGAGCTGGAGGTGTGCGCCGACCCCGCTGTGGTGACCTCCCTGCTGGGCTGGGAGAAGCTGCCCAGGAAGGGCTTCCCCCTCGTCTTCCACGGAGTGCGGGTGAGCTTCGGGCCAGCTTAGCAGGAGGGTGTACGCATGTCTGTGCGTGGGTCTTGTTGAACCCAGCCGTCACCCGGCATTCCCCGAGAGCCTGTGGTGGGCTGGCTCCCTCCTGCTGCTCGTGGTGTTCAGTCAGTAAGTTGTGTCTGACTCTTTGTGACCCCCATGGACTGCAGCATTTCCGGTGAGTGGGGAATTAAACCAGTGAGGGGGGCGTTAAAGGGGGGCATCCTGAAGGAAGGAGTAAGGGTCACAAAAAGCTTATTCATGACAAAACCCATGTAGAAGGAATTTGCCAACGTGCATAAGGTCGCGCAGAAGGAAACGGAGGCTAAAGCCCACTGGGTTCCCTGCCACGGAGCTGTGCCTTGGAGCTCCTTGGTGTGGAAAGTACAGAGCTGAAAGGTTACCTTACTTTTTAATAAGTACTCTTTTTTACTAAGATTTACTTATGTAGGCTGTGCTGGGTCTTCGTTGCTCTGAATGAGCTCTCTCTAGTTGCGGCAAGTGGAGGCTGCTCTCTGCATGTGGTGCACAGGCTTCTGACCGTTAGGACTTCTCTTGTCAAGAAAGTGACATTTTCTGATGGACCAGCTATTCTCTTATCTTCCTGGTGACTCAGGGCAACGAAGCTCGAGAGGGACGCAGCCCATCGTGGTTCAATCCTGCCGAGGCCGTGCAGGTCATGCGCTACTGCTGCCTGCTGGCCAGGAGCGTCTCCAGCCAGGTGTCCGCTGGCGACATTGGCGTCATCACACCCTACCGGAAGCAGGTGTGGGCGGCTCCAGATCCTCCGAGCAGTCGTGTCCGTGGGGTCCTGGTCTCTCTGCCACTCCCCTTCTGTCTGCACAGCTGCTGCTCCTGTGCCCCAGATGGGGTGGGCACACGCCTCGAGAAGGCCTGTCCTCCGGGTGTGGAGAGAGTGGCCCCTAGTCCCCACCCTCTAGCCTCCTCTCCTGGAGAGCCAAGCTTCTGTCCATGTTCTATTCCTTTCACAGTTCTGAGTTGCTTCTCCTTTGCCAGCACCGCCTGGAGATCTCGACACCCCTCTTCCCCAGCGTCCCCGCCCAGTCCTGCCCCACCTGCAGGAATGTCTCCCCAGCCCTCTTCCTCCTGGCTTCCCTGTGGTGGCCGCTCAGGCTCCTGGGGGTGGGATCCCCTGAGCGGCTCTCCCCCCACCCCGGGAGGCCGTCTGCACCCTGGAGCCACCCTCACTGTTGGCAGCACAAGGTGCCCTCGTGTCTCACGTGAAACCCCACTCCTGGCAGTACCCACTGGCGTACCATCTGAGATCAGGGCATGTTCCGTGAGCAACTTAGAGATTGTGAAACTTAAAAGATTGCGATTAGGAGTTGAAAGGCCCTGATGCTCACTGGTTACCGTTTGGCTTTTGCTGTTAATATGTAAAGAAATGGTCAGATTTGTGAAATTTTATCTTTGATCTTATCTCTTTCAAAGGTAGAGAAAATCAAGATTCTTTTGCGAAATGTTGATCTGATGGATATAAAGGTTGGATCCGTGGAGGAGTTTCAAGGGCAGGAATACCTGGTCATCATCATCTCCACTGTAGGTGCCCTGTTCCAGAACTGCACAGGCCCTCCCCTCGAGCACTTACTGGCAAGGTGTTCTTTAAGAAAACAAAACTACTATAGAATCCCAGGAAGAAGTGCTGAAATTTGGAGAAGGGAGCCAGGAATGGAGAGGAGAGGGAGGCAGGATCAGAAAGCAGCTGCGGGCCCAGAGGGCAGCTGGGCTCCGAGGAGTCTGTTCTTCTTTTAAAAATTCCCATAGTGACCAGTGCACTGCTGTTAACTGCAGGCAGATTAGGGAGTTCAGGCAGGAGAAGAAGCAGCGTTTCTTGAAACCCACACGTGAGGTCACCCCTGGGGAGAACACAGCGAGGTGAAGCGTATTCCCCTCCCATGGCAAAATGAAGACACGCTGACATGTAACATTTTTAAATGCTTTTATATATCGAATTTCTTTCCACAGCAAAAATTTTTAAATACTGTTTTTATTCATCTGTGTTTTTTAGGTACGGTCAAATGAAGATAGATTTGAAGATGATAGATATTTTTTGGGATTCTTGTCCAACTCAAAAAGATTTAACGTTGCAATCACCAGACCCAAAGCCTTGCTGATCGTAGTGGGAAACCCTCACGTCCTGGTCAGAGTGAGTCGCGGCCGGGGGCGCGGGGCGCGGGTCCTGGGGGCAGGGCGGCTGTGAGAGCCAGCCGGCCCCCCGCTGTGTCCGCAGGACCCCTGCTTCGGGGCGCTGCTGGAATACTGCATCGCCCACGGCGTCTACACCGGCTGCAACCTGCCGCCCGAGCTGCAGCCGCTGCGGGACTGAGCCACGCCTCCTGGCGGGCGGACGCCGGCCTGCCCCCTGGGCTGCGCGGCCACCCTCCATCTGGTCCTGGGGTGACATTTCCAGTCTGTGTCCCTTGCCCTCGCACAGCTTCATAAGAAACTTCAGTGCCCCTTGTAAAGCCACCTTGGGAAGCAGGGCGGTCGCCAGCCCCGCCACAGTGGTCCTGTGGGCGCCTGAGCCCCCACGGGAAGCCCCCCCCACTGGCCCCTGCCTCTCCATGTCTGCAGCCATGGCTGGGTGTGTGGCCTCCGCTCCCTGCCCAGCAGAGCCCTGTTGAGAAAGGGCGGCCAGAGGCCAGCTCCACCCCCGAGGGGCGCTGTCTGGATGCAGCCTGCCTGGACGCCAGCCTTGGCTGCGGGCCTGGGGCCCCTGGTCTGACACCTGCTCCCTGTGGGCAGCTCCACACCTGCCTGCCCCCGCCCCAGGGCAGTCCTGCAGCTGTCACCAAAACAAATGCTCAGTGGGATACCTGCGAGGCATCTGCCTCAGATATGTAGGTGTTGGGGGATGGCCAGGCTTTCACAGGTCCTCCAGGCCCTTGAGCCACTTCCCCGTCGTGTGCCGGCTGTGGGAAACCCAGCGGCTCTGCCCGAAGGCAGACTGGTCGGGCACGGGGCTCAAGCGTCCTGCACACCCACTTCCTGGTGCAGCTAGGCAGGGCCACGGAGACCTTCCCGTGAATCCTGCAAAGGTGGAGTGTGGAGTATGTGGCAGGAGGGACAAGGCAGGGACTGTCCACACCAAGTTCCCACGGCCGTCCCAGGACCCTAGTGCACGTACCCTGTGACGGCTGCTGCCACCCCCAGTCCGAGGGCCTTGTCCCTTGTTGACAGCTGTGAGCACAGGAAGTGCCCTCATCCCAGCTCACAGGTGGGGAAGTTGAGGTCCTGGGGGTCCAGCCCGGCACCCACTGGGGCCCCACTGGTGGCTCAGTGGGTAAGAATCCACCTGCCAATGCAGGAGACGTGGGTTTGATCCCCGACCTGGGAAGACTGCACGTGCTGAGATGCAGCTGAGGCCTGCGCACAGCTGTCAAGCCCAGGCTCCTGAGCCCACAAGCCCCAGAGCTCGCGCTCCCCACGAGGAGCCGCTGCAGTGAGAAGCCCAAGCGCCACGACCAGAGCGCAGCCCTCGCTCACCGCAGCTGGAGAGATGCCCATGCACAGCCCTGAAGGCCCAGGGCAGCCAGAAACTAATGTGAAAGGCTGCCCATCCCCAGCACATTGTAAATGGTACCTTTTCATGGCAGCCTTTCCAGTGTCTCCAACAGAATCAAAAAGCTGTTGATTTGCCGCTCACCTCTGTCCACTTGACGAGGACCCCGGCCAGCTGCCCCTTTGCAGCTGGCCGCAGCGTGCCACTCCTCCCTCCACAGAACCGCACCCCAGAGCAGGAGGGGCTCAGTTGACGGTCGAGGCCATCACCGAGGGTCTGCTCCTCCGGGGCGCACTGTGGGCCGGGGCCAAGCCCTCTGCCAGCAAAGTGCAGCAGCTCACGGCTCCACTTCCTCCGGAGATGCCTGTGCCCCCAGCCCTGGCGGTCGCTGCCTCTTGCCAGAGTGAGGGGTGCTGACCAGGGCAGAGCTCCCAGCCCACCTGCCACCCACGTTCAGGGTGAAGCGGCCCTCTGCTGTGTGGTGTGTTGAGACGGCTGTGGTTACTGCAGCGTGACTCGGCCTGGCCTGGCCTGCCCAGCATCCTCTGCTGCTCCAGACAAGTGCAGTCAGTCCCTGCGTATGGGCAAGCTCCGTTCTGAGCGCTGTTCACAAGTCCAACGATGTTTGCATAGGTATCTAGCTAACACAATTGACTACGTAGTACTGTATTGTAATAGGTTTATAATACTTTTCATACAAATAGTATATAAAAAACAGCGCGACAGCCAGCATACAGGGACTGGTGTCGCCTGAACAGGCAAGAAGAGTTTCCGCTGAGGAGGAAGAAGAGGGGAGAGGGGCTGAGCTGAAGGAGTCAGCCACCAGAGACAAGGCGCGGCCTCACCCACGTCTGATGTCGCTGGCTCAGGCCTGGTTCCATGCTGGATCCAGTTCTGTTGTCCCGAAAAAATGATCCGGTGAGGTCTGGGTTGTAGCTCTTTTTCTGTCGTCATAGATGGCACAGTAGCCCTGGATTGCATTCTGAACGGCTGCTACAGACGAGAACAGTGACTCCTCCAGCAGAGAGCACTCTCTGCCGTCTCCTGTAGGCTGACTCTCTCCGGTCCTTCAGGTCCTCTTCCTCCTGTCTCTCCCCCTCCTCTCTCTCTCTCCTCAGTTCCCTCCATTAGTGAGGCCCCCATGTTTTCTCAGCAAGGAGTGGAGGGAAGTCATCCTCCTGCAGATCCGCTCCGGCGTCTCTGAGGGCCACTGAATTGCTGAAGGTCTCTTTGGGCTCCTCATCCACCTTCTCAAACCCTCAAGAATTGTGAATTATGGACAAACCCCATTCATGGTAAGGCTGTAACCTCACGCCAAGCAGAGTCGATGTTTTTTACGGCCTTGTAGATGGTGTAGGCCTTCCCAAACTGTCACAGGTTGTTCCTGATTGGTCAGTGCCTTTACTTTCTGGTGGAAAGTGTGACATGAGTAATACTTCCTGAAAGTCAATAAAACTCTACTTGGTCCATAGGTTGGATGAGTGACATGCACTACTTCCACACTGGGATGAAAATCATCTACAAGCAGGGGGTAGCCCGGGGCACTGTCCAGCTTCGAATGTCGAACGGAACGTCCTTCTCCACACAGCCTGTCTCTGCCTCTGGGACGCAGTGGGAAAACCAGTCCTGGAAAACGGGCTGTAACCAGGCTTCGGGGTTACTTTTCCACACAACAGGAAGAGAGCCCTTGGCTGTTTCTCAGGGCTCGAGGGCTCTCTGAGTGGTAAATTAAGAGAGGTTTCAGCTTCACCTTACCGGAAGCATTGCCACCAAACCGCAGAGTCAGCCTGTCCTTTGCTGCTTTATAGCCTGGCATCAGCTTTTCCTCCTCACCAATGTAACTTCAGCCTAGCGTCCTCTTCCGGTACAGTCCTGTCCCATCCAGTGTAAAAACCTGCTCTGGTAAATACTCCCCTTCATCAATAATTTCTTGAAGCATGTTAGGAAATTGCCAGCAGCTACCATCGCACCCACTTTTATGTCATGAAGGCTGACACTGGCTCTAGCCTTGAACCCGTGAAATCGGTCATGGCTGGCATTAAAGGACACACCCTCTGATTCTCCCTTGTGGGTCTTCTTCAGGTCTTCATACAGGCTTTTAGCTCGCTTCAATCGGCATTAAGCTGAGTGGGGCTAGGCGCTCGTGCTGGTCCTGCAGCCACATGCTGAGAAGGTTCTCCGTCTCCTCCGTCACTTTCCCACGCCTCTGCAATGCTCTGGCCAACATCCTCTGCACAGCAGACCTACACATTCCACCACCTTGTCCTTGCTCTCTAGGAGCGCGCCGACGGCTGAACGGTTCATGTTTTGAGAGTGAGTGACGTTGACCGTCTTTTCACCTCGCTCTGCTCTCTGTTATTTTCACTTTTGTTTCCATCACTGTTTCTTGGCACTTCTGAGCGGTACTAGCTACATTACCACTGTTTTTGCACCTGCTTCCAGATATCCTGGCCGTGAAATAAAGACACTGCACCTCTGCGCTCTCTACAGCACTGCTCAGTAAAGGGCACAGAAGCGCAACGCTCGCAGAGGACGCGCTTGGTGACAATGCACACCAGACGCGTGAGCCAGCGAGACTGCACATGTGCGCATGAGCTCACACCTTTGGAAGGTCACAACTTGGAGGCTCACATATACGGGACTTACTGTATCTGCAGTGCATCGAGGGGGTCATCTGTCCTAAACTGTGAGACTGTGAACCCGAACCTGGGAACCAGAGCTTCCCCTGTGTTCTCAGGATTATTAGCTACATACTCAACACAATACTCAGACATTGCAAATTTGCATAACAACATGGAAGTAAAACTGACTTGGAAATGCGTTAATAACAAGCCATCTGTCTTCATGGGAGAACACTGCTTAGGGCCAAAACGAGAGAGTATTCAGAGTGGCACTCTTTCCTGTTTTTCGTCTTCACTGATACAAGAGCTGGTAAAACATCACCTAAGTAGAGATGGGAGTGCTTTGCTGTAGCAACATCCCTCAATTTTCCAAAGTCTCATGTGTCAGAGGCCACATGTTAATGTTCTAGAGACAGAAATGACCACCCACTCCAGTATTCTTGCCTGGGAAATCCCGTGGACAGAGGAGCCTGGCGGGCCACTCCCCATGGGGTCACACAGAGGCGAGACTGAGCGTGCACACGCAGCACAGTCAACCCCACGCCGGGCTCAGTCGCTCAGTCGTCTCGACTCCTCCGACCCCGCGGGCCATCACCGCTGTGTGTGTGTGTGTCTCGGTGTCTATAAAGGTATCGTCATGGGAAAGGGCAATCTGCCCCCTGCAATGCCGCCCCGCCCCAGAGGCTGGATTTGGGGAGCCTGGCCCCCCCACTCTGGGCCGGAAGGGCCTGGGGAGGGTGCAGCCCCTGTTATCCACCTCTGTCCAAGTGGGAGTTGGGGGGGAGCCACAGAGAGGCGGGGGGCTCAGAGCCCTGGTCTGGGCGTCACCTCCACACCCAGGCCTTCTGGTATGACAGCGTCGGAGGGGCTGCTGGCTCCAGCTGTGCCTCCTGTCCCGTGGGAAGGCGTGGGCCAGCGTTTCCACGGCACCCACTGGGTCCTGTCTCTCACCGCTGCTCCAGCAGCGACTCCGGCACTTGCCATGGCCACACGCCCACTCAGAGCCCATGAGGCCAGTGGTGTTCGCAGCACCAGGCTGACTATAAAATAAACCAGCGTGACTTCCCTGGTGGCCCAGTGGTTGAGGATCTTCATACCAGTGCAGGAGACACAGGTTCGATCCCTGGTTCAGGAGGATCACGTGCCATGTGGCAACTGAGGCCACGCTCTAGAGCTCTAGAGCTCTGCAACAAGAAAAGCCACTGCAACTAGAAAGGACCCCCATGCAGCAACGAAGACCCAGTACAGACCTACATAAATTAGTAAGACACACCAGAGGCTGGGTCTCTGTACAGTGGGACTTCCAGGGCGTGTCTAGGAAGTACCTGCAGAACCGAGACATTGCAGGAGAGACAGAAGACGATGCGCCCTGTTCCCCAACGGGGTGGCTTAGCTCAGTGTGGATTTCCACTTTCCCCATCCTGCAAATGTGCATGGAAGAGGAAGGGCCGTGACTACCTAAGTCGTCACGGGAAAAGGAGGGCGCGGGGACCTGCCAACCTCTGGATCCTGCAGAGCCAGTCAGGAAAGTGTGCTGCTGTGGGGAAGGGCCAGCCTCTGACGGGAGGTGTCAGGCTTGGGGGGAGCTATTTGAAAACAGGCAGTCCAGCTCCCTCAGTGAGCAGCAGACAAGTAAAATGACCTGGAAGCCAGGGGCAGGCGTCATTTGGGAACATTCGTAAATCTTCAAAAACACAGGCACATTAAAAAGGTTTTGTGTTTTGTTTGTTTTTAAAAAGTGTGAAGTTAAGGCTTGTACAGGATAAACCCCCTCTCTGAACCTCTGGGCAGAGGGTAGGGAATTAGCTCACCGCAGTGACCCAAGGCCTGCAAATACTGGTGCTCACAACATGCTTGGATGAATTAATGAAGTTGAAACTCCAACTGTGCTACATATTTTACAAAGACCACGAACCCATCCTCTACAGTGGCATGGGTTCCTGCCCTGAAGGAGTAAAGTGAAAAAGTGAGTCTCGCTGGCAGTGGGCATGGAGGTGCAGCTGGGCTCTGCCGGGAAGACCTAACCCAGGAGGATGTGCAGTGGGGTTGCCTGAGGGTGGCTACGCGGGTGCCGAGTGGAGGGGTGAAGTTCAGGAAGGTGGCAAGGACCCGGGAGCCCGTGCCCCGAGGCCGGTCTGGAGAATGCCTTTGACAGTGGCAAAGGGACGGGGTGATAGGGAGGGAGGTGCCGGGCTGGAGAGGCCTTGGGGCCACGTCGCGAGGGGAAAGGGGACGCTCACCCGGGCCATGGGTCAGGGAGTGGGCGCCGGGGACGCCGGCTGCAGTGGAGGGGCCACGAGTAGACGCCCCATAGCGTCCACCTGCCCGCCTCCCCGAGCGGGGAGGGGTNGTCCCCCGCGCCCCCCATGCACCACCTCCTGGAGCCGTCCGCGGACATGGCGACGGCGCTGCTGGCCGGGGAGAAGCTGCGCGAGCTGATCCTGCCCGGCGCGCAGGACGACAAGGCGGGCGCGCTGGCCGCGCTGCTGCTGCAGCTCAAGCTGGAGCTGCCGTTTGACCGCGTGGTCACCATCGGCACCGTGCTCGTCCCCATCCTGCTGGTCACCCTGGTCTTCACCAAGAACTTCGCAGGTGAGGCCGGAGGCTAGTGGCGGAAAGGGCACAGGCCTTCTGAGGTCTCCCTCGCTGACCCAGCCGCCGCGGGCCTCCTCACTGGGACCTGCAAAGGGCGCGGTGCACCGGGTCTCCCCGCAGAACCCCTGCAGGTGTTGCGGGTCGTTGAGGCTACCTCCCCACGTCTCTCCTCGCTGGATGGATTTCCCCTTCCCTTGGTTCACACTGGGTAGAGGGTGCTGCGGTCTAGGCATCAGGAGACATGGGGTCTGGCCTGGAAGAGAGGGACCAGGAGGGGGAGTGGGCAGGGTCTGAGAGGAGGAGGAGTGGCCAGGTGGGGACCGGGAAAGGAGGCTGCAGGTGACGAGGCCCGGGGACACGGAAGACCGCTGCTGGGTGGGGTCCTGGGGCCAGGAGTGGAGTGAAGACCCTGCGAAGTGGGCAGATTCTTGTCTGGGGCCCAGGGATGCTCCAGCCACTGGGAACCTGGGTCGGTCTTGGGCAGAGGCCCAGCAAGCAGGCAGGGCCTGGAGGAGCCGGCCGTGGGGGCAGTGGACCACCCTGGCCTCAGCAGGAGGCTGAGCCTGTGAGGCTGATGCAGGGAGGACAGGGCGGGGACCACGCAGCGTGCTCGGGACGAGCGGTCAGGCACCCGGGTCTGCAGATGTGGTCCCGGTTGGACTCAGTGTCAGGGCGCTGAGGGCCCTCTGAGAAGCAGTGACCCCAGGTGAGGCAGCGGCAGGGAGGAGTGGGCTCCTGGGGCCACTGTCCTCCCAGGGGGCCCATGGGGGTAGGTGGGTGGGAGACTGGAGACAGGAGATAGCACCCCCACCCAGGGTCTGGCTGGCAAGCGGTCTCAGGGTCCAGATGTCCAGGGAGGCCCCTGGGCATCCATCAGCCCGCGCAGAGAAGGCCCTGGGGCAGCGGGGTGGAGCAGCTCTCCCTCAGGGATGCAGACAGACAGCTTCCAAAGGCCTCTCCTTTAGGGGTCCCTGTGACCAGGGCGGACACTGTGCAGGCTGCCTCGTCCGACCCCTGGGCAGGGCACACCCAGAACCCACATGCTCAGACACTCCCGGTCACCTGTGACCTGTCCCCTCGGTACTGAGTCACCACCCTCTGCAGGGTTTGAGCCCAGGGGTGGGGGTGTCCTGCCGCAGCCAGAAGAATCCTTGTCCCACCCACCGGGGCCCAGCTGGGCCAGGGACACCTGGTGCCCAGACCCTCACTTGCTGCCCTGGCGTGGGGGGTCCACCCTATCTGCCTGTCGGAGACTGGGCGAGTGCATGCTGGATGTCCGGCTCATGGTGAGGAGCCAGCCAGACGAGACCTCCCTGATACCAAGGCCTGTGCACATCCCCCGGCTGGAGGGTGGCTGATGGTGGGAAGATCCTCATGGCTCCGTAAATGCCGCCCACCCTTTAGACCTGCTCTGTGACAGACGGAGGGGACAGCCAGGGGCACAGCTGAGCGAGAGGACCACGAGGAGGGGAGTGGAAGCGTTGCCAGGTTCTCCAGGGGCTTTTCTGACGGCTCCGTGGCAAAGAATCCGCCTGCCAACTCAGGAGACACAGGAGATGCGGGCTGGATCCCTGGGTCAGGAAGAGTTCCTGGAGGAGGGCATGGCAACCCACTCCAGTATGCTTGCCTGGAGAATCCCATGGACAGAGGAGCCTGGCGGGCTGCAGTCCACGGGGTCACAGAGAGCCGGACACGACTGAGCACACAGCACAGAGCAGGTTCTCCAGGCGCCACGCGGGCCCCGGGCAGAGGGGACCAACCCCTGCCTTTTCCTAAGTAGCCGGATACAGCCGGCTCTGGCTCTATTGTGCTTCACAGATACTGCATTTCTCACAATTTGAAGGTTTGTGACAACACTGTGTCAAGTCATTTATCAAATAGCATTTGCTCAATTCACATCTGTGCTGCATTTTGGTAATTCTCACAATATTTCAAATTTTTCATTATTAATATATTTGTTAAGGTGATCTGTGAGCAGTGATCTTTGATGTTACTACTGCAAAATGATTACGACTCACTGAAGGCTCCAATGATGCATAACATTTTTTAGCAATAAAGTTTTTAATTAAGGTATGTACATTCCTTTTTAGACATGCATACAGTATACAGATATAGACCACAGTGTAGTATAAACATTTTTACATGCACTGGAAGAAAAAAATGTGTTACTTGCTTTATCAAGGCATCTGGAGCCAAACCTGCACTGTCTCCGAGGTGCCCGCAGGTGGGCAGGGTCTCCAAGGGTACTGGGGTGCCCAGAGGCTGGGAGGGCCCTGGCCACAGTGCCATCCTCCAGAATGGTGCCCTTCGTGAGCTGTCTGCGTCTCGGGCCCCCAGCAGACACCTGTGCAGACCCTGCCGTGTCTGAGTGCCCAGTGCTCAGGCTCCGGGGCCCAGCAGTTACCGCAACCCCCCGCCCCCGGAGTCCAGCCCAGGTCCTGGGCCCCTGCAGGTCAAGTCAGGACATGTGGCCGCCGCTCCTCCAGGGCAGGGTCCTGAGGCGCCTGGATGCCACACGTGGTCTCTGCTGGGCGCAGCCTGCTTCGCAGTAGCCAGCGGGCGGGAGAAGGACGGAGGTCCTGGAGAGGAGCCCGTGGGGCGCCGGGCTGGGCCTCCCCTGAGCTGGAGCTGTTTCCCCTCCCTGCTGGCAGGCAGGGCTGGTGGCGGGCGTGAGAGGACCCGGGGCGGGGGGCCTGCCTCGGTGCACAGCGGGGCTCAGCTCCCCTGTGCCTGCAGCACCATGGCCACGGGAGAGGTCTCCCCGTGCCCTGGGGCCCAGCCAGGGCCTGGACCGGGGCACCGCCCCCCAGGGTCCCTTT